CAGACCAGCTCTACTTTGGTAATTACGTAACATTTCTGCTTATTCACGCCATGTGAGTGAAGTCACAGTGACTTGTCAGAACACACAGTGCTCCCGTTCTCAAAGCTACCATGGCTGGGCGTGGTGGTGTACTTTGCGCTCTGATTTCTGAAATAAGAAACTCTACATCAAGGTGTGGAAAGGCAATCCAGCTCTAGGCACAAAGCCTTCCAGAAATGCTAGAAAGATGAGTTTCACACACATCTCCTGGCTTGTATATCCGAGTTCATCAGTTTAACTCATTGCGGGCAAGCAACTTACTCTCCAGGCAGGAAGTTGTTCTATGGAACTCCTGACGCAATACAAACCAAAGCAGTTACAGCTAAGTTGAATACAAACCCCCTCAAGTCCACGTTGACAAATTCTTTAACAGGCCCTGTGGTTACAGGGAAGCTGGTTTCACTCTGAGTCACTCCTGTTCAAACAGTTTACTGGAAATGGAGGGGAGGGGGAATTTTCAGAGAAGTCATGTGATGGCCAGACAAACCACAACCAGTAAAAGGTTCAGTGGAGTCAAAAACAGGTCCCAGCAACGGCAGATGCTCAGTGTGCAGATGGCACTCAATCATTTACAACGAGTCCTGTTTTATCTCAGGGTTTATATGGCATTAACCCTTTTTCAAGTTTGTATTCTTTAAAAGAAGCCAGAACATAAATCTGGAAAGTAAACAAACAGCCAGTAACTGATAGTAACACAGGCAACTAGAAAATATTTGTAAAGGGAAACTTGGCTGCGCAGCAGTGCACAGAAGCAAGGCCCCAGCATTCAAAGTGTAAATCATTAGCCCTTAAAGAATATGCCACTTAAATATGAATCCAAACATACAAAGTCACTTAATGATCAGATCTACAAAGAAGATATAATTAGCTACTGAGCCCTCTTTAGTTACTTTCTCCTCATAGTAGAAAGCAGCATGATAAAGCAAAGGCCCACACATTCAGTACTTAGTTGTATTAAGTTGCACTAAGCTTTGTTTCCACCACACACTTTTATTAGCTTTTAAGTTCTTCTGTATCAACACCCAAAAACAGTTTACAATCAATAACTATATTACAGCAAAGGCAGAAACAAGTGTCCATAAGAAGCTGCACAAAGTTAAATTTTCACTGCGTTATTGCCCACATGCTGTTCTAGCACTGAGTAACAGATGCAACTTCTAATTGAGAAGTTGCTTTGAAAGGTTTCACTAGTGATATTCCTCATCTTTAGAGTGGAGAGCTCCCATAGAAAAGTTCAGGAAACTGGAGTTTAACTGAAGTGACAACCATTGGAAAAATATATTAAAATTCTATAAAAAAATAAAATTCATACTAGAGGGAGGAAATATTTACTATATCAGAGGCGACGTTAGCCTAGTGTAGTCAATACAGCCACCTGGGCTTTGCATTACTATAGCATTTCATGGAAAAGTAATCCTGATTAGCCAAGCCAGAATTACAGTACTGGCAACAAGACAACAAAGCAGAATAAAAGGAGACATATGAAGCAATAGAAGAGCTGAAGTTCTCTTTAGATAACTTACGCTAACTGTAACTGACAAACGAAAAAGAAGAAGTGGTGTTCCATTAAGTTGAGGGGGCTTTTTCTAAATATATTAAGGGAAAAATACAAACCAGAAAGTTACACATCAGCCAGCTCATGGGTTCTCTCAAAAAGTGACTCAAGGGGCCAGGTCATTTAGATTGACAATTTATGAAAAGAAAACCCACTCAAACATGCTCTTTAAATTTAGGGAGACAATATTCTTCCCCTATGCAAATTTCAACAGAACAATTGGTCTAATCCATCATACTATATAACCCACTCTAAATCATTTTATTTCTCTTTAGACTCTTAAAATCCCCAGTGAACTTTTTCTCTTCTGGTCAATCACAGACTGGATATTACTTGACAGAATGACACATCTATCCTCATCTGTGTCTCAAAAACAAAAGGTGTTTCTGAGAAACAGTTGTGACAAATTTTCTATATTAAAACAATACAAAACATGCAGAATGCCAAGCAACTTGGCTCTGCTTTGTAGGCAGCCATAGCAGCTCATTAGAACTAAAAGCAAAAACTATTCTCTAAGGCCATGGTGACTAACCAGTAGCTATGACAGTGGCTACTGCTATAGTGAACTAACCACATTATTCTGAAAATGTAAATAATTTTATGAACCAACTAGCCACATTCAACTGGCCAAATATCCACAAGTGGCAAGCGGCTAGAGTGTTGGACACCATGGCTCCAAGGCCTTGTCTACACTACTAGGGTTAAGTTGAGCTAAGTTATGCTACTCAAGCTACATGAATAATGTAGTTCTCTAACGTAGCTTACTTGTTCCGGGGGAGTACCGGAGTTGACTGGAGACCACCCTGCAGTCAGTTCAGTAGGTACACAGTGCCTAACACTAATGCACCTATTTTCACACCTCCCAGAGAGTGGGGAGGAGAAAAGCCTTTATATTGCAAGGATTCTTTTAATCACCATTAAATGGTGCCAAATATTTGTAATTTTCTAGTGGCATCAGATTGTCACGTTCCCTAGATTCTTACACCAAGGATCAGAATTAGATAATAAGGCAAGCTGATTCAGGTAGTAAAAGCATTGCTATTCAGCCATTATAAAGACGACTTTAAACTGCACATGAAGTAGTGTTTACTCAGTGCAAATAGCGACAAAAGTTCACTTTTGTGAATGATACCAGGATGTGCTCAAGGCCATACAAAGAGACATCCATGCACGCCTCTCACAGATGGGCATCTAGCAAAAACATGACAAAGCCAAAAACACAAAGGAAGTCGTATCAGTGAGCAAAAAATACTGTCCAATCTTAAATACTGAATTATTAGTTTTATAACAGCAGTACAATTTAACCAGATTGTCAGAGCCTCCTGCTAAAGTGTCTTATAGGAATCAAGATGCAAGTAAAGTTATAAGAAATGTCATCAGGGCATTTATCCTCTAAACAATGTGCTTCAATATAAATTCAATTGCTGAGAAAATTAAATCAAAGCTCCTGTAAGTACAATGTCATTTTTCCCTCTGAGACAGACAGCATTTCATTTGTTCACCAATCACACCATCATTGTGGACAAGTCTCAGAGGGGTAGCAGTGTTGGTCTGTAACTTAAAAAAAAAGCTTAAAAAACAAGTGGTCCTATAGCAACTTAGAGACTAACAAAAAATATAGATAGTATCCTGATCTTTCATGGGCACACCCATTTCTGTGAATTTCAGTGTCTGAATTCGTTGTGGCCACGAAAGCTCATGAAACAGTCATTGCAGTTAAGTTGGTCTAGCTTAACAAGCTTCTTACTAGCAAAGTTTTTATATTCAAAAAATCTTATCCTGCATTTTGGAAACCTAGACCTTTAAAAATGTCTCATAATTTGCTGGAAGAGTCACATCAAATAAATACGGATAGTAGTTCAGTTCTGAGTCACATATTTGATTAATTTTGTGTTTTGCTAGGATTTTTAAACATGGAGATCTTAATTCATTCTTATTATTTATCTAGTGCCAGTGTGGTAGGCATTTCCAGACAAGTTTTTAAGATGAGGTGCTTGTCCTGGACTGCTGGCAAGCTAGATAATCATAGTATTTAATCTAACACTATTAGATTAGAAATAATGCTTGTAAAGAAGTGCAAAGAAACTTAAGGCTGTTTTCAGAAGAAAATTCAGAGATTTGTGGGTCTATTCAAATGCTCTCTCTTTTTCCTACATGCAGTAACCTCTCCAAAGAGGATAACACACACTTATACTTCTTAAAAGTTAAGACTAGGTAGTTTCTGTGCTACTGTAGAGGGTTAGTCAAAGAAAAAGGATTGCAAACACTTTTGCTGTGCATAGTAGATGGTATCAGCTTCATTCTTTCATATAAAAATCTGTCGTGACCCACTTCCACCTAGTGGTTTAGTAGACAAACAGGATTTTTTTGGTCTACAAAAAAAGAAGCAGAATACAGAGGAGAAATTCTGCAGCAAGACATTTTTGAGAAGTCCCCCCCACCCTCCAGAATTGTACATTTAGAAACTTGAAATAATTTCTAAATGAAGGCACACAGAGACTGCTGACCTGAACAGAAAGCTATTAACAGTCTTTTACACTCAATATAGAATATGGGCCAATGCAAGTCATATTATATCAGTAAAACGGAGTTGAAATCATTCAAAGCAGACTGGTTGCTTTTCAACATCAGAAACAGTATGTTTCCTCGGGCTGTTGAATCGGTCAAGACATGGGCAGCAGAAACAGCTAGTGGCAAGGCAGGTGAGTATTACCAGTGAAAACAAGTTGGCTGGGGATTATCTCTTTAAGAGAGATTTAAGAAACAGTTTGGCAGTTCAGTTATTTCACAATCACAGTTGGTTTAATGACTCCTACATCATTTATGCGTGGGCCTCACCTTTCCTTTAATACAACAGTGGGCAAATACCGGCCTGAGATCTAGATCTGGTTTGCCAGGGTTAGTTCCTGGCATGTGATGCATTTGCCTACGCCCACACAGATACAGGCGACTGCAGTTCCTGGTGGACTGAGAAACCACTCCCTGCAGCTCCCATTGGCTGGGAACCGTGATCAACGGCCAACAGGAGCTTCAAGCACCTGTACCTGTGGAGGCGTTCTACCAGGGGCTAACCCTGGCGAACCGCTGCCATCTTATTGCCCATCCCTGCTCTCATACTTCCTTTGCCATATTTGTAGAATTTGTTTTTTATATGTAAACACCATTACTTAACTTTTGTGTCTCCATTAACATATCCCTGCCTTAGCGGATTATACATTCTTATTTGGTTTTCTCCACATCTCTGTATGCCATGCAGGTTCTTTTCTAACCTATGAGCAGCCCCTCACAAAGTCACAGTGACTGCTTTCTTGCATGTTTATTTCAGTGGAACGGTTGTCTGCTGCATTTTAATCCTGCTGTGTTTTGAATAATTAAACGCATTCGAATATTTTTGCAGTGTTCTTACTTGTGCAGCCTCTGCATGTTCCAGCATCTCCTCAAATTCCTGATACTCTTCATCATCAGGTTCAGCACCAGAGAGTCGGGCTGCTCTGGCCATGAAGTAAGGAGGCAGCTCTCCAATAGCTGTGCCAGCGCCCTGGGAAAAGAAAAATTATTTTCATGTTATTGTTCTTCATTTGAGCTCATTTTAAAACAGCTCAACTTATGTTCACAATTCTTTTTGGAAAGTAAAAAAAAAATAGTAAGAATCATAATAAAAGTCAAATACATATAAGGGTTATCCCAACAGAATTGCAGGGATCACTCATTTCCAATGGAAAATTATTATCATTACCAGATACATACGGTTCTCCCAGGTTCAACTGTTATCAAATTTACCCTGGGAAACTACATTTTCACCTCTCATAGGTTAGCCACACACATGCTCTCCCCACCCAACCTATAGTTCTGTACATTGTAATAAAGTTTGTTAGTCGTGACACCAGGCATTGTTGTTAACTGGAAAACACAGTCTCAGGTTCTACTACAGCTTATTGCTGAACAGACCTTAACTTATGTACAGGGTGAACCTCTCTAGTCCGGCAACATCTATGGTCTGGCATGATTTTAATTAGCCAGATGTTCACTTATAGCAGGGGTGGGCAATAATTTTTGAAATGGCCCAGGAAGGGGCAGGGCCAGGACACTGGTATGCTTCCCCACTCACAGACCCTGATTGGCCTGGGGATGGGGAAGTGTGCAAAGTCTTTGTCCCCCTTCCAAAGAGAACCACCAGCTGCTCTGAACAGATAATGGTTCCCTCTAGGTACTTGTGCCCCTGGTGGTGGGAGAAGACTTCATGTGCTCCCCCCTACTGCTCCCAGGCTAATCAGCACCTGGCGAGGGGGAACACATGAAATCTCATGCTCCCTGCAAGAAGCCCCCATCCAGCGCTTAGAGTCAACCGCCAGTTGAGCAGCTGAGCTCCTTGCAGGGCGGGAGGAGACTTCATGCGCTCTCCCCACCCCAGGTCCTGATTGGGAAGGGGGCAGGAGGAATGCACTGAGTCTCCTTCCACCCTGCATTCACCCTCCAAGGAGTGCACTCCTGGCAGGGAGGGGGGAGACTACACGTTCCCCCAAGCCACCCCCGATGGCCAGTCAGGGTTTGGGAGTGGGGCCAGGGGGAGCACGAAGTCTCCTCCCGCCCTGCCAGGAAGAGCCCAGGAAGCAGTGGAAGTGCTGGTAATGCTGGTAGACAATATTGAACTCCCACAGGTTGGCAAATTCTCTGGTTCGGCACCAGTCCCGATGGTGCTGTCAGGCCACAATATGGGGTCAAGAAAGCCAAGAGCATTAAGAATCAAAGGAGAGTTCCTTTTCACTGCAGGAAAATGATTTCTCTCAGGACAGCAAATGACTCATTTCAAACTTATGGGTAAATACAGCTTTAGTTACCAAAAAAAAAAAAAAAAAAAAAAAAAAAAAAAAAAAAAAAAAAAAAAAAAAAAAAAAAAAAAAAAAAGTATTAGACATACAGATAAACAGAGGTTAATGAAACAGGAACTTGGATTAAATGCAAATGGTTTAAATGTAAGTCAGGTAATAGCACAATAGTTGGGTGCTTTGTGTGACTGAGGTCTAGTACTTTTCCAACACAGATGTCTCTTCAGACTAAGAACCATTAGCAGGTGACAAACGCTTATATGTTCCTTTAAGCAGCATAAAGCCCTTCAGTTTCCTTTGTTCATATTCTGTATGCAGCTTTATGCAGGGGCTATGCCAACCATTTTGTATATTCTAAATCAACAGATTTATTTAAAACACTATAAAACACATTATTTGTACTAGTAGGCAAACTCTTAAAAATGCCCTGTTTGTATAGTGTATAAATAAATACCCCTCATATGTTTCTCTTCCTATTGTCCACATGTGTAACACATTGCATGAATGCAACATCATCAAAACAAAACTATTTCTAATCATAGAAAGTTAAGCTTGAAAACAATTGTAGCTATTTTTCAGAAAAATCAATTGGAATTATGTTCAAGGCAGTGCAAGAACCACAGAAATAGTGCTTGCTTCATAACAATGAGCCAATTTACTTTGGCTTCATTTTGGTAACCAAGGGAAAGATTCACATGTGTGTACTGGAAGTGAACTTTCCTTAAATTGGTTAAATCACAAGGTCTTTATTACAAAACATCTGAAAAGCACGAGATCACATGATTCCACATCTACTCAAGACAGATTGCCTTAATATGTAAAAAAGGAAGCATTTAAGTGATCCAAAGCAGCAACTATATGCTACCTTTTGCAAACACAGCAGTTTCTAAGCAAATTTCAGATGGAAATTTTAATAATAGTTTCCCCAGATCAACAAGGAATTAGAAAGGCAAGTGCAAATCAACATTATTTCACAAACACATACAGTTAAAATGTGAAACTAGTCAGCTCGAAAGCTTCTTTAAAACCTTATCTTGGTAAAGACACCTATCCTGACAGGTTATATACATTTTTACCTTTCCAGATACCGTCTAACAAAAACACAAAAAAGCATCAACACATTTAAGGTGCTATTCAATTCCTAGCTTCTGTGAGGTGGCAAGAGCTGAAAATTGGCCTACCTCTGCAGGCTGCAAGTCCTTTAAAAACACCTTCTGCAAGCCAGGACTAGTGATGCCCATTTTATACAGATTGGGAATGTACCTGACTTTGCATAATCGGATTAAAATTCCTTAGCGACAGATTGATATTTAGACCTAATAATTCTCATTATCAATAGGAATATCTGTCACTGCCAGAAGGGAGGAGGGAGAAAGTGGTACAACTGCTCACCTCAGTGAAGTTGCATCTGGTTTAAAAAAAAATGTAGCTGAAACTGGTCCACATGTTTTAGCTCTCGGAATGGATGCCCTTGAGGACAGAACTCCTTGAGTACAAGATTTGAGGAGCACTTGTAATAGCGAGGTAGAAGGTGAACATCTCCTATCCACCATCCCCAACAAGTTCCCTTTTGGAACCTCTGAATTTCTGCAGCTTTCATACATCACCAGTATGGGTCCTATCACGGCCACCATCTTGTCATCTTTTGATCAAGTAGTATGAGGCAGCATCCACGTTAGAGCCAAGCCACAGGACTACACATTACTGAACACCAGGCTTTTTTAGATAGTTAATGTTGCACCACTCCCTCACTGGACTCTAGGAAGCTGTGTCAAACACTTCCAATCCCGGCTCATTCAATGAGGCACCTTCCAATAGCTCCTTTGCATTTCAAATTCAGAACTGCACTGACAATTTCTGATTTTAGAGAGAACTAGAAATTGGTAGTTCATAACTTTTTAGTGTTCATGAGTTAGTTTCCTATAATCATACGCTAATCAAAAAAATCAACCTACTCTTCTCTTGGTTTCAGTTTGGAAGGAGAAAAACTAATGTTGCTATTTATTTGCCAGATTTTGAGTTACTAAAATCATCGATCCATTTACTTCCTTTGCAAGAGTTTAGTATTGTGTTCCACATAAAAGGATGTTGGATTTAACAGTGACAGGACGAGAATTCTTCTGTGGTTTCTATAAAAGTAAACTGGAGTAAAGACAAAAGAGAAACAAACAATGGAAGCAGCAGCAGCTGCAAATTTGATTTGATCTACAGGAAATTAACAAGCAAATTTTAAGTACTAAAGAAATAGTCCAAGAAAGCATAATATTATATTAGATACCATAATGACAAACTGGAAGATTTGCCCCTGGGAGCAGCTTCGCAGACGAAGTTTAATAAAAAGGTAGGAAATATATTTGGAGGAGGGTAGGAAGAAAGAGGAAATTACACAAAACTTTTGGGTTTCTCAGTCTCATAATTCCCCTGGTCTGAACAAGCAAGCCGCACTAAGGGAAATCTTCTAAGGTACCACTTATTCCCTCTCAAGGCTCAAGATAGTTGCATGCCTTGGACCCTGTGTTAATTTCTAAGCTACTTAATTTTCAGTTTAGATCAGTAATTTTATACATTCACAAAGATGTGCAGCAAGCACATTTATCCTGAGCTACATTTTCTTTTCAACCCTAGAACTTTATTTTAAATGACATTCTTATCACTTCATAAAGACTATGATGTAGAGCAGTGAGAAACAACAAAGAACGAAAGAGATTCTGAACTTAGGGCATGTCTAGACTACATCCCTTTTTTGAAAGAGATATAAATTACATCGAAATTGCAAATGAAACTGGGATTTTAATTTCCCTTGCTTCATTTGCATAATGGCAGCTACGCGTTTTCGAAAAAGGGGGTTTCGAAAGTAAAACCGCTGTCTAGAGGAGTACAGGATCTTTCGAAAAAGGGTTCCCCCCCCCCGGAAAGAACCATGTCTAGACGGCAGTGTCACTTTCGAAAAGCCCTTTTTTGAAAGAACGCACAGCCACCGTTCTGCAAATGAAGCGAGAGAAATTCAAATCCCAGCTTCATTTGCAATTTCGATCTGTCTAATTTACATCCCTCTTTTGAAAAAAGAATGTAGTCTAAACATGCCCTTACTGCCTTATAGAAGCTTGTGTATAGGAGATTTTCAGTTAGTTAACTATTTTTCAAACATAGTTCTGAAGCAGTAGCATTGTATGATTTCTGTAAATATTTTTACTTATAAACCTGTAACACGTGTGATCTAGATTTAATTTCTTTGTTGGCGATAGGGTCACTGATAAATTTTAAAGCTGTAATAACACCAATTAGACTCTTTACATTTTGGTTATTTTCACACCTTTAGGCTTCCAGAAACAAGTTAGAAAAGATCAAATGTTGTATATTATAGGGATCCCATTCCATCTCCCACATCTGAAATTGAAAACCAAGCATTTAATAATTTAATCAATAGTCAGAGCAGGAAGTCATCATCAGTAGTAAAATGAAGCCTTTTGGCATAGAAGCAGTTAACAACAGTTGTGTGTGTGTAAATTTCTTTTCAACATAGTTTATGTTTTATGGGGAAAAACATTTTAGCTTGCCACTATTCTTCAATAAGCAAATTTTTAAAAAGTCAAAGAAGTGAATGCTGAAGTAAGATCGGAGTGCATTTCCAGTGACAAGCACCCACATCCACCTCACTAAATCCATTCCTAAGTGTGCTTCAGTGTTTAGCAGCCAACCTTTTTTTGTTTTTGCTCTAAGCGAATGTTTTCAATCAGGAAAACATGGATTTTTAATTTCAATGCAACACACAAAATGTGATCAGGCTACTTTTAATATAACATTAGGACCCGATCCTTCCAACACACGTGAATAACTTCACTCACATGAACAGGCCTATGGACTTTGAAGGGTATTCAAAGATGAATGAAGTTGCTCACTTGCCTAACTGCTCACAGCATTCAGCCCTTAAACTGCAAGCACAGCTGGGCAAAGAATCTCCTTTCAAAACCTGTCTTTTGCACTGAGTTCCTCGTAAATGTCATGCATTTTCCATTAAAGAACCTAGAAAAAAATAGTTATCTTTGGAAACAGAGCTGACTTTTATAAGACTCTGAAGAAGAAAATCTTATAACAAAATAGAAGCACTCTTTCTTTCCTTAAACCTTTCTCGGAGCTGATAAAAATGAAGCCAATTATTTTCAGCTGCTCCTGTTGAATACATTTTGAAGATGTTCAGATCCTATACAGATATCTAAAGTCAAATCAGCAAATCATGCTTACGGTGTGAATAATTATACATCGCTTCTGTCAGCAAAAGCCAGCACCACCTTATTTATTTTAGGTAAAATTGTATAAATTAAACCTTACCCACATGCAGGCCTCTAGCCTGACTTTTGAGATTATGGTCCATAAAGAGATGGATCCTTCAATCCCCTCCTCATCAGGGCAGATAATCTGATCAGGGTATGGTGGTTCAGGAAAATTAACCGAGTTACATTCATAAGCAGCAAGTGTAACTGATGCTATGTGTGGACCCTGGAAAATACATCAAACAAGACATTTTCAATACATTTTGTGAGCATTATACAATAGCTACTCTAAATAATATTGTTAATAGGAAACCTATCATATGGAAAATGCATACGGAAAGTGGACTGCCACACTTGACTTTACATATGGTACATAATGTTGGACACAATGGTCATAGCTTTCAGATTCATACAAGTGAATAAACATCCAACTCCAAACATAAGATCTCCGTTAGAGCTCCTGTTTCAGTTTTAAGGGACTACAAAATTAAAATACTAATAACGCAGGCAAGGAAACATGTAACACTGTACAGCAATGTTTCTCAAAGTGACCCACTCTGAGACAGCTGCTATTGGGCCACTTGGGTTTATTTACTTACTGGCTCCGCAGACACGGAGCCTCACATTTCCCATTGGCTGTGGTTTATGACTGGCAGACAAGCAGAGTCGTGGGAAACAGTGTGACCTGATCCTGCTGGTTCCTGCGGCTCCTCTTGGCCGCCAATGGCAAACTCTGTAGAGTTAACACTGGAAGAACTTAACTCCCTCCCACAAGTATACTTTTAGCCAATTTTTCTCATTCAATTCCCCATGAGCAATTAGTAAAGCTGAGTAGTCTTTCAGTTCCTCAGGCACAGAGCTGCCTGTGATTGAGATGCAAATACTGCAAAGAAATCCTTATGCCCTAACCAAAAATAGAGCAATTCTTTGTATTGGATCTTTTAAACATATTTGAAATGTTTCTACTGATTTCAGTTTTACAAAAAAAACCAGGTTTTACAAAACCTAGGTTTAGAGCCTAGCTGGGCCTGACAATGTTTTGAAGTGTTCTTCTTCTTCTCTACACTCTTTTCTTTAGACCAGCCATGAGCAACCTAGGTTAGCAAGTGGGCTGCATAAGTGGCCCTCCTCCATTTCAATGGGCTGCAAGAGTGTTGCAGCCAAGACGGTCCCCAGGACAGAGTAGTTTTGCTAATTGCACGTGCATACTTAGAATTTCCTGGGTGTGCCAACAGAACCACAGCAGCGCTTTGAGAGGATGCAAGGGGAACACATAGCTTTCACAGTCAATGCTGCATGCAATAAGCATGAACCCCACTTTGTGTGTCTTTGCTTCACAAGTGTGGTACTTTAGTAATACGGATGGGGGAAAACATGACATGGGCAGAAACCAGTGGAATCGGGCAACTCTGTACATATGTAATGGTAACCAAAACATCTCGCAAGCTACACATTAGGGATGTTAAATATCAGTGAATTGAACAGTCAATTAACCTCATGAATTCTTATCCATTACTTGACTATTCTGCAGTCCCCAGGGTGGGACCCATTCCCGAGGAGCTCCCTGTTACTCCATACTGCTTCCTCTGTATCAGAGGCAGCAGTGTGGGGTGCCAGACAGGAGCTAGTCTGCGAGGGGAGCCAATTTTAAAACCAGCTCCCCTCGCAGACCAGATGCCTGTCACCCCACGCTGCTGCCTCTCATACAAAAGCAGCAGAGCAGGGTGGCAGAAGCCCCTGTCTGGGGTGGGAACCTGAGCTCCCGTTCCTGGGGCAAGACAGAACTGAGCGAGGCTGCCTGCCTGCCCGGCTCCTATTACACTTTAAATGCAGAGCCACAGCAGGGGAAGGTCCCGGACCTGGCACGAGCCAGGACTGAGCTAAGCTGCTGGCCAGCCTGCTAAAAAATTTACTGGTAAGGGTGGGGGGGAATGCATGTAGTCTATAGCACTAACCTATAAGCTTTTGCTTATTGGTTAATTGACTACACTCTTACATCCTTACTGCACAGAGAATCCCTCGGGCCGCAGGTTGCCCACCACTGCCTTAGACATCAATTAGTACGCCAGTAATCTCGTGTGCGAGTCACAGTTCTTTTACTTTAGTTTCCTAATGTGTTGTAAAATAGAATGGGTCAACTGAGATGCTCAGAAGATTATTTTTAAAATGCTTTAAAGCTCAACTCTTGTACAAGTGCTAAGTATCATCATTAATAGAATTAAGTTTTATTAGACTTCTAGACAACTCTGCGTTAAATTAAAGGTGACAAAGGTGTTTTACTGAAGCCAAATCTCAGGTACATCTGACTTCAAATGAGTACAAGAACTTAAGTGCAGTTAAACAATGGAACCAACTGCCATGGTATGTCTATAAAGTACTGTAGTAAAATTATTATCAGTCTGTGCAAATAGTTCAGACTTATTCTTATGCTGGACATCAGGAGTTTTAAAAAAATGAATCAGCTAAAAAAAAAATCACCTACCATCTGTTTCTCAGCAACATGCTCAAATTGTATAAACTGTTTTTAAAGTTTCCAAAAAATCTTATTTTAATAAAGATAGCTTCATCTTAGCCTCAGCAGAATAAATTCATAATCAATTGTTTACATACATAGCACATATTGTTCAGTCTTCAGTCTGCTATTAATTACACAGTTGGTTTTGGTTATCATTTTGGGAGACATTCTGCTAATATCTTCCTTTGTGGTTTTTCCTTAAGTGAGTCAGAGTCTATTAGAGCATCAGGGAATCACAGTAGAAAAAAATCAAATCAAAATTACCATTTATTTTACAGAAAATAAATCTGAGAATGTACCGATAATGGGAACAAGAGAAAGCCCCTGATGCACAATTCTTAGTGCTTAGACAGGTCTATTTCCCGTTATATGGCATTTTTAATACAGGTACCAGAGGCGATTTGGGAGAGTTTATGGGCTTGCTGCAAAAATTACTAGATAAAATTTTATGAACTATATTAGGCAAAGAAGTCAGAGTAGAAGATCACTCTAGCCTTAAAGTGAAAATGAGCAATCTATGAGAATGAGCAACTTACTGAGTTTTTCTAGATTTTGGGAGGTGGATTTTTTATTGTGTTCACTCTTAGCAGTTTCTCTGAACCTAATGGAATTACAACATTTAGTAATGTCAAAAATATCTGGTCTGTTCTAATTTTCACATGGTAACTTACAGGCTGCTGTAACAAATAAGAAAATTCCCACTTCCCTGTCAAGCCAGTCCTTTTTATTTCTACCTGTCCTTGTTATTGACCTTATGCTCAACAGACACTATCTTGAACAATTTCTTAATTATATTTAAATAAAGTCATAGTTCTGATCTCATGGTAAATTAGGAGCAATTACATCAAATGAATCATAGAATCATGGGGCTGGAAGAGACCTCAGGAGGTCATCGAGTCCAGCCTCCTGCCCAAGGCAGGACCAATCACAACTTAATCATCCCAGCCAGTGCTTTGACAAGCCGAGACTTAAAAACCTCTAGGGATGGAGAATCACACAAAAGAAAGTTTATGGGAGAGCACATTCAGACTTATTAAATACCAAGTAATTATTTTGATTTTGTAGGGCAAAGAGACTGCAGACGGGTAAAAAAATTACTAATGATCTATATTGCAATACTGATTAAAAGTCTCTTTGGGTAGACCTCGTAAGTATCTACAGTTAAGAGACAGTCCCTGCCCCAAAGAGTTTACAATCTAAACAGACAAGACAGACAAAGGAAAAGACAAAGAAAGTATCCTTTTTTTAAATATATGGAGAACCGACCCCAGAAAAGATTAAGCAACTTGTCCAGGGTTAGACAGCAGAACTAGGAAATGAACCCAGATCTGAGTCCTAAACCAGTGTCTTAGCCACAAGACCATCCCTTTCCTGATATGCCCTAGTATTTCAAAGAATCTTGATATTCCCACCCCTCCCATACACAAATAGCTTCATGCATTGAAACACCTTTTAAGGCCTTGTGCCTCAAGCTGTAGTTACCAGCTATTCAAAACTTCAACATCATTCTCCTCAGCTGGAAATTTGCATTGAGGAAAACCCCAAAGTCAAGTGTGTGTGTTAAATCTGAAGTGCCATTTCACATGGTCTTTTGAGGGTAAGGGCAAGTTCATTGCCAAGTTTACCAGGCTATGGTGTATGAATCAAGAAGTATGATTTTCAGTTCCACAAAATTTAGAAAACATACTGCAGCATAAATGTAACTGCAGCCAGTTGTGATGAAAGACTGCAAGTGCAGAACCTGTTAGTTTCAAGCTTATAGCAGTATAAGAAAAAAAAGTACAAGTGTTAGCACAGTCAAGTCTTCTGCCACAGTTTCATAAGTGAAATGACCATGATCTCAATGGCTGAGATTTTGAAATGAATGCTGATGGACAATTTAAGATAGGACTCTGCCTGGGGAAGCCTACTTTTTAAACTTAGGCACAACAGGAAAACATAATAGTGTACTACTAAGAATAAATGTTAAAGCAAACCACCCACCCACACGACCCCCATTTACTATTTAGGAACTTGCCACTCCCTCAGTTCTTTTAACAAGTGTTGTCATATCTTGAATCTTTTAATGGTCTCAAATACACATCATTTTATTTGCCCAGCTTTGACAGTTTCAACAACTGAAGTCTGCAAATGGAAAAAAAATCCTAAAGCACGAAGCAGCCATGGAAAAACATTTCAGAACACAGCTCTACCTACCTGACAAAAACCACTTTAGCACAACTCCCCCACTGAAATGCAAACAATTCTATAATGGAAAAAAGTTGAAAATATGGAACCCACAGAGACCACATTTTCACTGGAATAATAAATAAAATGTACAAGATTCATTTAGAATAATGGTCAAGTGTGAAGTACTCAAATTCAGAATTAGTTGAGTAAGGGAGGCAGAACAATCTTGTGCCTTTTACTTAACACAAATGAGCTCTCCTGCTTTAAATAAAGTCAACTGGACAACATACCATGGTTTGGCAGGCTGCATGTGATATTTTTGACATCTGCTTTTATTCCAGTTCAGACCTGCAAAGCCCACATACAATATCTATTCTCCAAAAACAAGCCTCTATTATACATGTCTAATGCCTTGGTCCACAAGTCCATAACTTCTCCTGGAATCTCACAAGACTAGGTTTGGCATAACCAGAGCTATAGTAAGATCATACAATAAATGTTCCAACAAAAGCAGCTGGACATTTTATTTTACATTTAGCAAT